AGGTAATCTGTAAAGTCTAACTCATCATCATCATTAGCTCCACCTTGATTCAGAGTATGGTCAGTTTTTGAATTTTGAACCTCCAATTCTAGATGATCTAACCCCAAAGAACTCTCCTCTAATTTCCGGACTCCTTCTCCAGACCAAGTAGAACGTCTTCTTTAAAAACAACATCCCTGCTTACAATGCATTTCTTAGATTCTAAATTCCAGAATTTTTAACCCTTTGCCCCATCTGGGTATCCTAAAAATATGCATTTGATAGCTGTAGGTTTTAACTTATCTTCTCTAACATGGACATAAGCTAAACATCCAAAAACTCTAAGATTTATGACATTCACAGGATGACCAGTCCACTTCTCCAGAGGAACTTTAAAACTTATTGTTGAGTGTTGATGCGTGATTTTGACACCAACTAAACACACATGTGAAATGCTGAGCTGAGTCAGATGACACACGTGAACGAATGTATGAGACTGGATAAGAGATGTAGAACAGTGTTTAAAGTAGTTCGGATGCTTAAACAAGTGACTCCTACGTCCATTGATATTGTATTAATGTACTGAGGTCAGGTCGCGTTCAGCGAGCTGATTTACAAGTGATTACAAAGCAAAAATATGTATGCTATTCTAGAGAGAATTTAGCTAATCCCACAAATGGGAGAGGATCCCTTTATTTATAATGGAATGAATTGAGGTAATGATTACTAAATCAGGGAGGGGGTCAAATTGCCATGCAAATCCTTCCTTGCGTCTCATTACTCACCTGCTCGAGTGATTTACTCGACTCTTGCAGGGATTGGACACATGGATCGCCCTCAACCTTTCACCAGCCTGGCGCACACCTACTACACTAGTAAGAACATGCTGCTTGGGTCAAGGTGTGACGTGGCTGCATCTGAACAACTGCTGGACTTACCTAAGCTCTGACCACTTACGCTGACAGGGCTCTGCATCAACCCTACTTTTCCAGGCATAACACTGAGGATGATGTTTTACTTATCAGGTAGACCATTGTGTGTGCTGCTTCTACCCAAAATTTGATTGGCAACTTAGGACAAGACAGGATACTCCTAACCTTCTCTGAAATAATTCGGTTCATTCTCTTACAAAGGCCATTTTGCTGTGAGGTATTCCTAATTGTTTTATGTCTCACAATCCCATGAGTTTTACAGAAATTGTTGAATTCCTAATTTACAAACTGCTGACCTTTATCATTCTTAAGTTTCTTTAATTTCTTTCCAGTTAGTGTTTCTACCATGATTTTCCACTCGTTAAACCTAGAGAATGCCTCATCCTTTGTTTTGAGAAAATAAATCCACACATGCCTGGAAAAATCATCTTCAAAACTGATGAACTATCTACATCCCCCAAGAGAATAGTGTTTAGATGGCCCCTAAACATCTGAGTGAACATACTCAAGTGGTGAACTTGAGTAATGTTGACTAGATCCAAACTTGACTCTACTTATTTTTCCAAATACACAGTGTTAACAAAAAATTAGACTCCTAGTTTTATCCCCACACAACAAGTTTTGTTTACTCAACTCTACTAAGCGCTTTTCACTAACATGAGCAAGTCTTTGATATCACAATGAAGTTTTATCTTGACCTTCTAAAGACCCAACAGCAACAATTCCACAATCAGTCCTAACCTTTAACACATATAACCTATTTTTCTTTTTAGCTCTCATAACCACCAAGGATCCTTTCATTACACTAAGACTGTTATTAGCAGCCTTATTACTTAGGTCTATTGAGTCTAAAGTACCAAACGAGATTAGATTTCTTTTAAGGCCAGGAATAAACCTTACATCAGTAAGGGTTTTTGTTAATCCATTGTGAAGACTCAACCTAACAGTTCATATACCTTTGATATGACATACATTGTTTCCCATCATTACTTTCACATCATCTAAGGGTTGAAAAGAGTTGAAACACTCCCTGTTTGGTGTCATGTGATAGGTACAGCCAGTGTCTAATATCCATTCTTCACTAATTTTGCCCTTAGAGATAACTAGGACCTCTGAATTCTCATATCCTTTGGCTACAACCTCAGCACTACCTCTCTCATCTTCTTTTTCATATTTATTTTGGTTCTTTCTCTCAGGACAATCTCTCCTAAGGTGACCCTCTTTGTGACAAAAGAAACATTTCCATTTCCCTGTTTTTGATTTAGACCTATTCCTATTGTGTCCTCCCTTTTTCCAATTTTTCTTCTCTGGTCTACCTCTAACCATAAGACCTTCTCCATCACTACTATGTTTATCTCTCATCATATTCTAACTATCCTTAGTTGAAATAGCCTCTACAACCTTTTCTAATTTCAGTGTTTGTTTACCATATTTTAGGGTTTCCACAAAGTTAAAGTAAGGCTTTGGTAAAGAGTTTAACAGTATTACAGGTTGATCCTCATCATCAATCTCTACTGAAATGCTTTCTAGATCTTGTACAATTTTTAGAAAATCATCCTTGTTATCTTTCATAGATTTTTGTTCATCCATTTTAAACCCAAATAATCTCTGTTTTAAAAACAACCTATTACGGACAGCTTTAGATTGATAAAGGGCATCTAACCTATTCCAGATTTCAGCAAATGTTTTCTCCTTCTTAATCTCTCGAAGGACTTTGTCACCCAGTCCAAGGATCAAAGAGCTTTTAGCTTTATTTAGCACATCCTACTTCTCATTTGTTGTCATCGTTTCAGGCAGTTCAATTTCCCCTTTTAACGCCAAAGCTAACCCTTCCTTTATCAACATTGCTTCCATCTTCATCTTCCATAAACCGAAGTCGTTTTCCCCTGTAAACTTTTTAAGTTCGAATTTAGTCAACATGTTTTTCCAAAAATTTGAAAGACAACAAAACAGAAAAGAATACAGAGGTAAATGAAATCAATTGAGTGACAGGCTAAAACAAGAACAACTGAGTAAAAAACCCTAACGAAGCCCTGAACCAGGCTTTGATACCAATTTGTTAGAATACTAGGGTCTACTGAGTTGTCTCAATTGAATTAACAAAAGATTAATTGGATAATCAAACAACTCTGAATAATCTAAACATCCTAAATCATTCAATCAATGCATGAAAATCAAAAAGAAAGAAAGAAAGCAAAAAAGAGCAAGACACAATAGATTTATAGTGGTTCGGCTAAGTAGTCTATATCCACTCTTCAAGGCTCACAATAGGATGTTATTAATCATGATTTCAAGTAGTACAAAAAAGAATTGAAACAGAGAGTCCAAGGAAAGAAAACACCCGAAAATCAGACCCTAGATTTCTCTATGAGAGCTGCTCCTTTCCTTCACCAGCCCACCACATTATAAACACAAACACTCCTCTCAAGATCGACCTCCACCTGTCTTGAATTTCTCTACAGTCGTGAGATGAACAAAGGGCTAGAATCTTCTTCATATTCATGCTTCCAATAAGTTGAGAATGAGAATAAAGTTGTTGTAAGAGAAATGGATCAAATGACACGGATTGAAAACTGATCCAAGGAGAAAAACGATGTCGCACAGGCCATCTTTGATTTCTTTATAAAAAAGACTGACTTCTTTATAAAAGGCTAACTCCACCGTGGCAAATATAAGTCACATCACCACAATTAGCTTATCACAATGCAGCAAAAACAGCCATCTGCATTAGATTTGAAAATCGTGAAAACCAAAGATGGGAGGTTTTTCGTCACATGCGTTGCCCATACACGATACATGAACCATTCTATAACTTGGTTCGACCACATTTATTTCCTGGATGGTGCGAGGGACCAAAACAGGTGATCACAGATTACTCTGTGTGATCATTTTTACATTAAAGGAATCTACTATCTTTCTGTGTTCCTTTCACATGGAATTCATGTGAAAGCATGCCCGTTTAGATTTAATTAATATTTGATTTTAGAAATTAAAAATGCTGTGTGTCACAGCCCATACATACTAAAATCAACACATTAGTATCATAAATAGTAAGTGGGACCTGATCAACAAGTGTTCTTCTTCGATAGATCATAAAATCATCTGTGGTTTTCATATTACATTCAAGTGTACACATTATCAGATAAGTTATAAAGCCAGTGCAGCTTTCAGAAACTCTTGCTTTTCTATTTCAAAACTCCATTAAATTGCCAAGTTGGATTTAGGAGTTCCTTAGTAGTTTTCTTTCAATGCAGTTACTGATAATTAAATGCAGTTTGAATCACAATTTTCTGGGTACACCTGGCGTAGGGACCTCTCAATTTAATGTCTTATCCTTCCATGAAAAAATTAATTACTCAAATCCTACATATCGGTATTAACGATTCATAACATCATCTACAATATCACATTTATTGTAAGACCGGCCTTTAACATAAATTAAGACTCTGAATGTGGTTAGTATTAGCTCAAATCTCATAAATATTTGGTTAATCATAGCTGATCATGAAAGTGCTGTCACATTTCTTTCCCAGATAATAAAAATTAATGAGTATGTGTATAGCTATTTCATTTCCGTTTGTGTGCCTAAGGGCCTGAGGAGGGAGAGAAGATTATCCTGTTTAATAGATTATCTGGAAGCAACCCTGATCGGTTCTCATATTTATATGTTACTGTTAGCTTATCTTGAAGCAAACCTGATAGATTCTTATATTTATATATTACTGTTAGCTTGCTGCACTACACATGGAGCGTACATGTACCATTTATGCCTGCCTTATATTAACACCACATGCGGTTAGTGCTATGAACAGTATAATTTTCGAGATTGAGTAATTCGTTTATAGCTTTTTCCTGTCTTAGGTCGATGTGCCAATCCAAACCCTGACAAAAGAGGAGGCTAGAGCAGGAAATCTGCTAGAAGAAAAGACTTATCTGAATCCAATTGAAAAAAAGTTCTGGAACAACAAAATAACATCCTAACAAGCATTAGTCTGTTAGATTCCATATATAATCGAGGGGCAATTGTAGCCGGGCATGTAAGTGGTGCAGAAATAGGATTCTGATATCAGTGAGTACACAAACAAGAAATAAACATAAATTCAGAAAGTCGTTTCTGCTTATTGCTTCGATTAAATTAACAATATGAAGAATGTCTTGCTCTATTATTTTGATTGTTTCACAACTCCCGCGTTTTTTTGCAGTTAAATGAAGCAATTTCTAGAAATACACAACTCCAAGAAGAGAGGGGACATTTCTTTGCTAACCCTTTCTTCTCTTGGGACTGAAAATGAAGTCGTCGTCGTCACTATCTTGGTTTAATCTTTTTTTGGCTTTAACATCTCCATTTTTGGATGCCTGTTGCTGCTTCTGTGAACTCTCAGGTCTACTACTGATGAGTGGTTTTGAAGGTTTAACTGGAGTTCCCATTCGCTGTTGCTTTTGTTTTCTCTGCTTCTTCTCATTTGCCTTTTTGGCTCTATCAGGGGACAACAAGCCATGTTCCATCATCCTGCAAAAAGACATATATTACAACTTTGATATTACTTGGCAATAAATGCTGTATAAAGTTGGAAAAACAGGAACTAAATATTGTACATTTGGCAGAATAATCTTTTATTACGGGAAAAAAATAAATTTAACATTGTCCTGATCAATTACTCCGAATTGTAGGAGAGGGGTTCCTTTAAGGTCCTGCTAACCTAAGCCCAATCATATGTTGATAGGTTGATAGCAGTCCAACAACGCAGGCAGCAGACTAGTTAAAGCTAAAGGGCTAACCCACCCCGAACCATATGTAGAACAAATTACAGCAGCAGTCCAGTTATTAAGGTCGGTTCAAAATGATTTCAGATTTCTGTGACGTTGCAGGTTCTAGATTGCTGTGGGTCTGCAAACTGTCTTCTTTCTTAATACAATCTACCAAGATTGATTGTGTGGCATAAACAGCTGACTGATTTGATGGAAAAATCAAAATCAATAAATCTATACCTTGTATATATATGTATACAGTGTATATATGCATGTGTTCATTAGGGCAGGCACAAGTTGATTTGATTACCAAAGGACTCAAAGCAAATGAATAAAACCTAAGACTGGTTCTCATTTTCAACCAAAGCCAACTCTATATCAAAAAACTTTGGTTGAAGTTCACCTAGGGGCCAAAAAGAACCAAGAGGATGGAGATAGATATGCTAATTGGGCTAACAATTGTCATGGCCCCAAAGAAAATACAATGGAATTTGGATTGTGAGGCAACATGACCCCACCAAATGGATGCTGCTCTTAAATTTTACACAAGGGCCCTGACTGAATATTATTATTCCATATTGAGGTTTGCCAACAAAGTGCTACTCTGAAATGAGTCCCAGATGTTAACAACTAAAAATCATTTCATGACGACAAGGCATCAAAGTCCAAATCAAGATACTCAAAATATAGTTTCTAGTCATGAAGTATACTAACCACACAACAACTAATTTCACAAATAAGATAGGCACAAATATACACCCAACAAAGCACTAGCAGTAATAAAATAGCCAACAACATGATTAAGTTTCCCAACCAAGTGGGTGCCAAAACATGTGTTATTGTGATTATTTGATTTCAAAATACCAGACTGAAATGCTGATTCCTCTAGGATTTTAGGCATACTGTTACTAACAAGGCACGTCAGCACATCGAAGGTCAATATTAAGCCCTGCAGAAGGATAATAAACCAGTATCTGAGCGTTCCAACTGCTCAGTTGGTAAAAGGTCCTAAAAGTCATACAGAATCCACTTCAAATCTGCTCATGAGCTTGATTTATTTTCACCTTTCTAACTGTCACTTACTCAGAATACAAAAAGCAAAAAGTAAATATATAGATCTATCTTTATCAAGAAAAGAGAGCCTAATACAGGAATGTATAGACAGTATATAATGTCTTTCTTTATCAGTAACCTATCTAAAAATACTAATAGCAGCAGAATAAGCAACTCTTAATAACATGGTGTCACACATTATGTAGGAAATCAAATCTATAACTGACTATTCTATTCTCATAACAGGTGGAATGAGTCCTGAGTCCCAACTGGTTGAGTCTTCCTTTACAACATTAAAAATATGTGAAACAAAAACATAAACAACCCAGGCCCAGAGCTGCCACCTCCAAAAATCTCAGTTCACTGACTTGCATCTCGCTCTTTAAAGTTCTATGGTTGGGAAGTTTTGGTTTATGAATGAGTTGAAACAAGCAAAAGCCACTTTGATTATCTAAGCCAGAACCTAAGTCCCTATCAGTCTCCACTCTGCCAATATGACATTATGTGGGCACAAGCAATGTGGTGAAATGATGGTTCGATTTCCTACTAATCAAGTCAAGATAGTCTAAAGCATCCATTTTCCGCTGATAAAGAAATCTATAATCTCTGCTGATACACGGCAAGAAGCTTCACTTACTTCCCAACATTTCCAGTATCTGTTCTAATTGAAATCCTTCTCCTCATCTGCATCAGACAACTAGTTCCCTACAAACCCTCACACTAGGGCCTCCGTACTATATTCCATGTGTAAAATCTCCACTGCAGAGACTTTAGACTTTTTAGCAGAAAAAGGAAGGCCTTGAATCTTTAGTCATAAGAAGCTAAAAACCACCCGCAGTTTAGCAAACAGAACTGTTCTTCAAAATTTCTGAGTTAGGCAACTGAAACATATTTACAGAACCTCTTCCATTACACTTTGATCAAAAATTACACCTGATAGTCCAAACATATGACATATTAACTACCTATCAAGTTTCAAACTTGTAGACCATTGTTATCACAAGGCATTTGTTAGATGTACATCAAATAAATGATTTTGTAACTCTCATATCGGAACATAACATTATTAGGGCGGTACTAATAACATCCATCAACTGTGAGAAAATGAGAGAGACGGAGGTCCGCCCACACCCCCCAACCCCCCGCCCCATCACCTTTATTGTTCCCCAAATCAATAAAAAATTCAAGTATACATTATACTGACCATTAACTTGTTAAATTGAACGAACAGAAATTTAGTACGTAGTCACTAGTCAGCATCTTCATAATCAACCAATTATTATTTTACCAATCCAACAAAATAAAAAGTTAGTTCTAGCCCACAGCCACAGCTAAAATACCAGTCTCCATATTACCTTCCTAAGTTCCTAAATGCATCCAAGAGGTCACCTAGGCTTGAATCGGCTAGGCCCAGAGAATGTCCCTCTAAGAAATAATATACTATCAAAACATGCATTTTCAGTAGGAAAATTATAGGAGCTCTTTCTATGTGAAATTATTCAAGTGACCTCAAAAGAAGGATTGGAAAATAATTTAAGCAAGTTTCAAATCAATGAATAAACGATTTTAAAAGAATTTCTTTTGCTCTCTCTACAAATACAGTAAGATTAAATAAAGAAAGAATTGCAGGGAGATTAAAAGAAAAGCTAACCAAAATTCTGCCATTTCGCTTGATGGTATCTGTTTTGACAACGATTCATAGAATATCCTTAATGGCTCTCTCTGTTGATACAAAGCACCAAAAGATGAAAGAATGAGTGGCATTAGACCAAAACAACGTCGTAATATTTCTGAAGAAAAACAGAGAATAACTATTATTATGTTCTCTACCTCTTCAGGAGGATCATATTTCTGTCCAGGCAATGTGAACACTTTCTTCTGTCTCACTTTAGTGGTTGTAGTTATGGTGGTTTTTGAGGAACTTGAACTTGGTTTTGACTTTATCTTCACAATTGAGATAAACAGATAGGAACCCATCACACCAAATACAAAATTATACAAACGACAGACTTTTAAACAAAAGAAACGCTAGATGCCCAGAGCCAAATCTCAACAAAAGATAAACCAAAATAAGTGCGCCAAAATTCCACAATTCATTACAGATTAGTTGATTGTATAAAGCTCCATGCCCAGATCAACTAATTCTTTGCAATTGCAGAATGTTCAAATTAAAAATCTGAAATTACCAAGTCCACATTAGTGAATTCATCACAACTTATATAGAAAGCAATTCAGAAACTAAAAACCCCAAATACCAATACAGAAAACAGAAAAGCAAAGTCCCACCTTCAAAAATCAACAATATAAGATTCTAATGAAGAGAAGAACAGAGGTTTGTCAAGCAACAAGTGAAAAGCTTTGAGATGGGTACCTCTGTTTTTGTGACAGTGGAAACTGATCTATTTTGCTTTGAATCAGACGGTTGATGTTTGCCTGAGCTATCAATCTTCTTCCTGTTGACATCAATCTTTCCCTTGGAAGAACCATCTTGATTGCTCGACTTCACCTTCCCAACACTACCCTTAGTATCTGTGGCCATCAACTCTTCTGTCTATCAATCAATTTGTTTAGCTAATTGAAATTCAGGACTCATAAATATTTAATGCCTGAAAGAATAGCACAAAATGGAAGAAGAAAAAAAAAAAAAAATTAAAGTTGCTGGTTGTTGCCGCTAAACGGCTTTTAAGGTTGTCTACGTGATAAACAATGCTTTGTTAGGTTATACCTACTTAGTTCTTACAAGTCTGTTGAGGGAAAATACAGATTTAACCTCAGGTTTTTTATGTGGAAATAATTGAGAGATATTATGGTAAGAAAATCTGGAAGCTCATAATCATACGGCTGAGAGCAAACTGCTAATCTTGACAGTAAAAGTACAGGTAAAAATCTAGTGCACTGACTTTCACGTAACCGATGGTCGGGACACGTGGTGGAAAGTTATGCGCAGTTGATATAGTTATTGTTAATTATATTTATTAATTTATAGCCGCCAAAAGGATAAGGATAAAAACACATTATCTGATTGGTAATGGTGATTGCGTTTGGTTCATTATTTTGGATAGGATTTTGGGAATATGATTGGATAATTGGATAGGGTTATGATTACGAGAATAAGACTTATAGAATATGTGTTTGGTTGAGTATTTTAATCTTGATATTTGTATTGAATATTTGATTAATATATTTTTTATAAATGATTTATTAATATAATATTTTGTTGAAATAATGTATTATTATATATATAACTTATCAAGTTATATTTTAATAATACTAAATATTTTATTGGTAATTTTGTCACCCGTAGATATTAAAAAACAAAAACCCATATTAATTTCAAGTACTAATTTAACTGTTTAAAAACATCACATTAATACATATATAACAAAAGTACTAACTATCAACCCTTACAATCATTATTACACGTATACTCCATTAACAACTACGACATGATCTACTGTGCTGCCCACAGTGCATTCATTATGTTATCCCGTACAGTCGTCATGTTGTCTAATATTCAAATTTATTCACACCACAACCACCAAAACTACCACCGATCCGCCACTAGCACCGTCATACCACATCATTAATCACTCTATTATCACAAACATCCACGACCATTAAGTTCAATACCACCAATTACAACAATTTCTACACACGAAAGTCAAAGAAATAGAAATAAAAAACTAGAAAATACTTTCGTCGAAGAAAATTAATCAACGAACTTTGTATAAAAATAGCCGAATGAGAAGGAGAACAATGGCATGGAATTGAGAGAGAAATCAGCTTCACAGCTTGCGATTTGCGAACGTGAGAAGAGAAGTGACAAATCTGGGTTCACGGTGGTTGGGGAGCTGAGGTGGGTTCACGGTGGGGAGCTGAGGTGGGTTGACGTTGGCTTGGGGAGCTGAGGTGGGTTCACGGCTGTGAAGATGCAGTAGTTGAGGTGGGTTATGTCTGGGGAGCTATAGTAGCTGAGGTGGGTTCACGGTTGTGAAGATGCAGTAGCTGAGGTGGGTTCACGACTGGGGAGCTGCAGTAGCTGAGGTGGGTTCACGGCTGTTGCGATGCAGTAGGTGAGGTGGGTTCACGACTGTGAAGATGCAGTGAAGAAAATGGTGAAGAATGCAGTAAAGAAAATGGTGAAGAATGCAGTGAAGAAAATGGTCCACGCCTCAGTCAGATGCAGTGCAGAAAATGGTGAAGCAGTGACGAAAAGTGAAGAATGCAGTGAAGAAAATGGTTTAATTTTCTTAGTCAGATGCAGCGCAGAAAATGGTGAAGCAGTCAAGAAAAGTGAAGAAAAATGATGAAGAAAATGGTTCACGCAGTGCAGAAAAATGAATAAAAAAAAAAAAATTGAAACGGTCAAAACCTGAGAAAGCTGTGAAGATGCAGACAATTCAAACTTGTGTTAGGATCATGTTTTGGGGATAGAGTTTTGAAAAAAAATGAACCAAACATTATTTTAATAATCCGATCCAGAATAGGAATAAAAATAATGAACCAAACATGCTGGATAATTTACCAAAGTGCTAATCCTGACAGTAACAATACAGGTAAATGTAATGAAGAATTTTCCATTTGAGATTTTCCCCTTATAGCCCATACTTAAGTGACAGAATATGATATATATATATAATTCCTTTTATACTAACCACCACAATTTTGTTTTTTCACTTCCCCAAATGCCTTCAGAATCATGGATCATTGAATTTAATTATACAGGTGATTAAAAAAAAAAAAAAAAAAGAATCATCGGTTCATTTTTGGCCCAATAATTTTCTTTTGGCTTTCTACAAGAGAAAGAGGCATACACAGCAAGAACAACTTTATTATATCAATCTATATACATAAAAAATAATGTATTCCCAATAATTTTCTTTTGGCTTTCTACAAGAGAAAGAGGCATACACAGCAAGAACAACTTTATTATATCAATCTATATACATAAAAAATAATGTATTCCCAATAATTTTCTTTTGGCTTTCTACAAGAGAAAGAGGCATACACAGCAAGAACAACTTTATTATATCAATCTATATACATAAAAAATAATGTATTCCCAATAATTTTCTTTTGGCTTTCTACAAGAGAAAGAGGCATACACAGCAAGAACAACTTTATTATATCAATCTATATACATAAAAAATAATGTATTCCCAATAATTTTCTTTTGGCTTTCTACAAGAGAAAGAGGCATACACAGCAAGAACAACTTTATTATATCAATCTATATACATAAAAAATAATGTAATGAATACCATCACCCGTGTAAAAAATTCCTAATATTAACCCTTTTATTTCATCTTCTTTCTACTTCTACCTCTGGAAATACAATTCGTATGTATTGCACCATTGACATGTTTCTTGCTTATCTGGGTCTTGCTAGAAAAACTCTATTGTACCAAACTGAGTGGAGAATCATATTAAACATATCATACTTCACAGGCTTGGGATGCCAGAGAAAATGCTGTTGTACCTTCTTCACCCTCATCTGCATCTCTCGGTATCTCTTCTCCGGGATCGAAAGCAGTATATTTTTCAAATTCGGAATGTCTTTCTCCAAAACAAAAACAGCAAAGGATTCCCAGTTCAAAATCTCAAAAAATGGGGGCACAAAATTGTCAGATATGATCACTGGAACACATTCGTAGAAAATGGCCTCCACTACTCGTGGGCTATTGACTTCATACCCTTTTGCACAAATACAGTACTTGCTGCTTTTCATATAATGAACGTAATTCATGTTTCCCTTCACCTTAGGCAATACACCAAAAATTTTCATGTCAGGATCTTTATTTCCCCAGTGCTGTAACAGAATGGGTCTTAAATATCCATGCATGCCCCCTGCAAAGAAAGCCAGAATTGACCTCTTTGAAGGAGGTTTCCCTCCAACCTGCCTAAGAGGGTTCTGAGGTGAGCGCACATATGTCTCAGGAAGAGACACATCCTTGCCAAAGACAAAACCTTCTTTAACATCAGCATTGCAAAGGGCTCTGATGCACTTTGCCATATCTCGCTTTGTCTCAGATGGGGCCTGAAAAGCAGGGTTCATAACAAAAAACATATCAACTGATATGTGGCCCGGACAAAATAAAATCAGAATCATTTTCTGCAATTACACAAAGCATTTCATGTTACATGTTCATTATTGGACACTAGTTACTACCCAATAAGTAAGAAAGTATCAGCCCAAGAAATTAAATATTTTAGTAAGCTGAGAAAAAAATGCATTATGATTAAAGCAAAAGATAAATTTACAATGACCTCAGGAAAGTAACAAACATACTGATTTGATTACGTCATATCAAATGCTACAAAAAATAGATAGAATTATTTTTAATGCCAAGTAAAATAAAATGGAATAATTGAGAAATTCATGTTGATCCCAACCCAGAAGTCACAAGAACCAAGCCATTGCAATTAGAATAACTTAAACAGACAAAGCATGGAAAATGTACCCAGTCGTGGCAAGCAACAAGAAAATGGTCTGCTCCATCCGTTCTATTCCAGAAACGATGCTTAGCTGCAATGAAGTCCAAGTAGTTCTTCAAATGTTGTATAAGATTTTTATGACTGTGAGAATTTTGAACATATAAGGTTTCCTCTAACATTCGAGAACTGAATGGCAAGTAAAACAGTTGAGCTTTTCTAGGGTCTTTAGTAACAATTTTTTTGTTAGCTTGCAGCAGCTTCATGAACCATCCCTCAGAAGCATATATTCCCTTGAGTACTGGCTGATGGAATATGGGCTTTTGTCCTTCTTTGTAAACATATACTTTGAGTTTCTGTTCCATTAACTCATAGCTCCTGCAAATTGATTGTATCTCTTCAATCAATTCATTGCTCCAAGATATGGGATGACAAAAACATCAATATACATAAAGGATTCACTTGAGCAGCACTAATTGATTAGTTTGAAAATGACATAGCTTCTAGCCTTCTATGCAGATCAAGTATCTTTGAAGAAAAAAAGGACCATTCCCAAAATAATAACAGCAGTTCTACCACAAATTAATGAGTTGTTTGATTTTCAGCAAACAAATAAGACACAAACAATTTGTATGTTCCAGCTTAGATTAAATCAGATAGACACGGATAATTACCAATACAACCTTAACCACTAAGCATAAAACTACACAAGTCAATGAAAGGAACTCCTCGTCTTGGACTTATATTGTGCAGATTTTTCATTCTCAAACTCAAAACCAAGAAAACATAGCCTATGTTTGTACAATGTGTTATTAGCAACAAGGAATCTCACACCACCTTTATCAATGCTATCAAATACAAAATGCATAAGAGAATGTAAATCAGATAATTTAATATGAATAGAAAGTATCAAGCTTATGCGTTCTTGCTCGCAACCAATAGTATAAAAGAAAAAAAAAACCAAGTATATGCATGACAAGGGTAAAGGGAATAGGAGCTATGTGCAAGCCCAAGAAGGAAGGAGGGATCCGCAGCCCTAAACATTGCCTATGCTACTATAACATATGGAAATCACCTAAATCAAAATAAAAAATCTCAGACCTAACTTTCATATGGAAGAAAAAATTGTTCCAAATAAAAGAAAAAGAAAAAACAAATGGGTCCAATAATTATTCTATGGATTTTGTAAGCATACCTTTTGAACATTGAAACATTGCGATAAAGAGGCGAATAAAGTTCATTATCATTTTTAAATATGGGTGCATTTTCAATCTGCACTCTTGCATGTAGGAGCTCTCGGTCAACAGCTGAAGACCATCTTGGTCTCTGCAAACAATTTGTAAACAGAAGATAAGTTGAAGCAACTACTACATAGAACAAACTCTCCTCACATAACTGAAAGTTAAAGCCTAACACATACCATTGAATGATACGAAGCACGACTCTTAAGCAACAAATCATTCATCTCAGCTATGGAGATTACTGCAGAATTTGGAATCTCAGGCTCTTTCTTCTCCTCAGGAACAGCGGTAACTGAATTATTCTTGCCAAATGTAGTGAAATCACTCTGCAATTTTCCTGATTTTTCATTCTTGCGAAAAGTGGTGGTTGTATCTTTATCCTTTGAAGATATGTTGGAATAAACCGGTACAACAGGGGTTCCAACATTTGTTTCTGGCAGGGTTTTATTAGGTAAAAACTCTATCGGTGGTGAGACAGGAAAAGGTGAATGAGCACCCCCACCTGACCTTCCCTTATTTCTTGATGTCAATGTATTATTTTCTCTCTCATTGATAAATTCTGAAAAATCACCACCCACTGTATCATTCTTTTGAGTAATGCTCTGTTCAGAGTTTCTGGTTTCCACCGGTGCAGGCCCATTATCTGCATTCTGGACAATCTGCACTGTCGAGTTTTTATTTACCCAATCCAATTTCTCAGTTTCAGACTCCTCATCAGGGTCCTCACCTCCATCGTTATTTTCTGATACAAGATCTTTACTTGGGTCTATATCCTCTACTTCGGTGGTCATAGTATTATTAGCAAACTCATGTACTGGAGATGTACCACTGGAAATCAGGCCATTTGGACGAGTCACATTTTTGACCATCCCAGACTTAGATAAGGGACCAGTGGCCACTAAAGTAGTGTTTTCTGCTACTGGAACCTTACCAGCCGAAAATAGAGATGAGAAAACATTATCATATGGGAGTTCAAGATATTGGAAAATTAAGATCAAAGCAAACACCATTGCTGAAAGCCAAAGTAATCTCCTGCTTTGGCCATGACATACAGATTGAAGTTCATGACCCATTAAGGAACTTGATACACTGGCCTCAGAATTCCAACCAAAATTACAATCCCTGCACATTGTTGCCAATCTCTGAATTCAGTAATATATCCTCTTTCTACATGTATTCACTAATTACATGAAATTTGACTGGAACTCATCATAATTCATAAACAAATTTTCACACTTAACCACATCTATAAAGTCACATACAGATGATAATCCATTTAGAGAACTCAAAACTCATCGAAAGGCATAAACTCTTCAATTTGAAACATTCCAACAGCAAATCCACACAAATTCATCGACATTGTTAACAAAAACTAAAATCAACCAACAATCAAGCAACAAGAGCTACATTACTTAATCGAACAAAAATCAAAATAACAAAATCAAATGCAGTATCTTAAACAATCCACAACATGCAAAAGAAACCCTCAAATTAATCAGAAATCAAGAAAAGAAAGGAAACCTACAGAAATCAAATAAACGCTACTGCTTGCCGCTAAGAAACATGCAAAGCCATCCAATACAAACAAGAAACAAAATCATCGCTAAAGAAGTTAAAAAAAAAAAAAAAAAAAAAAGGCTAATTGGAAGTTGCAACAACAAATCAACTAAAGCTAGCAAACACTTACAGTCTGGTTGGCCTCCGAGAATCACTGGAGAAGATCTAATTAGTTGGAGAATGAGATTCTTCTCTTCATCTTTTGCTTGATTTTTAATACGAAATTAACATTTGTAGTATTGTGTAAAGAAAAAGAAAGGTGTAGAACCTGAGTTGGAGCTTCTATTAGAGTTCTGTTGGGGTAACTGATTTTTGGCATAATCGAGAAGCGGGAAGAAGTGAAGTATTTATTTGGGAAGGAAGAAGCTGCTTTGAGACGCACACTCATCATTCAGACCACTCCGATATTACGTAATTCGCCATCCCGCTGTTGACTTCCAACAACCAGCTGCACAGTCCACGCTCATTTAGGCTGCTAACGCAAATCGCTCTTATATTCCTTTTTGTTTTTAAAATTAATATTTATAAATTTGATTTTCTTAAAATTTCATGTTCAAAAGACCTATATAAAAATTGGTATATGATATTCAGTAACAAAATACTAATTTATATTTACAATTTCCTATTTTTAAATTCTTATTTTATTTTAATAGTTCTAATTAAATTAGATTTCGAGCTTTAAAAGTTTTTTCATATTAGATTTGTTTTAATTATTAGGTTTATTGTTTTCCTAATTCCTAACTAGTTAAGGTTAATTCTAGTATAAATAAAGATTTTTGTAGCCTTTTAAGGCAATAGTTTTTTAATTATTACATTAAATGAAATATTAAGAATTTTGTATGATTTTTCATCCAATCCAGTCTCCAAATCTTGATAAAATGTTGTGGTGGTTTATTGTATCATTTGTTGATTTCGGGTTTCAGCCATCGCTATTATTGTTTCGGCCTCAAATATCATATTTAGGAAATTTTAATATTTTAATTTAATAATTAAATCACGATATAAAAATAATTATATCAAAATATGGTAACAATCAAAATATACCCCAAAAGAAGGTTTCTTTATTAATTCTAAATTTTATCTTTCCCATTGGTTGTAAGATAATTTTGCCAGTATAAATATTTACTTAGATCCTTTTTAACTTAAATTGAACCACAACTTATTAATCATTTATATGTTATGACCCAATGGATGTGAAAAGAGTTTAGAGATAGTTATTTTTTTTGTCACCTCAGCATTTACTAAATCATAAGATTGTATTAAATCTATGATTAGAAATTGTGAAAAGAAATTAAGTTAAAAGATCACATACCTAAGAAAATTGTCTCTTATTTACTTTAAATTTATCCAAGAATGTGATCATTTAATGAGAACTTTATTCTTATATTATTTGAGTACATAATTATATTCAAGTTATCATAATTTTTATTATAAAATTTTAATTTGAATAGTTCCTATCATTAGTCAAAATAATTTTGTTATGACTTGGTTCATAGTTTAAAACACTACATTAAATAAGAGATAATAAATTAAAGAGATGATATAAACATTTGTTATTAAATTGTTAATTCATAAAAAGAAAACATTAGGACTTTTGAAGTAGTTTGTGATAAAACAGAGAATAAAAAGAAAACAAATAAATAAAAAAATTTATGTCACGCAACTTAAAGGCGCGTGAGATTGAGCATATGGTCATGCCTTCGTTATTTTTCTCTTAAAAAAGCAAGAGATGATGAGAAAAGCTGTTATGGCTTTATTCTCCATCAGGAACCACAATGGACTTCGCTTTCTTTCTGATGTGGAATGGAATATTAAAATTAGGGATAATGACAATATACACCCTAAGGTTTACTCAAAACCCTAAGCTTTTTAAAAATGACATAAAATACCCCTATGTTCAGTCGGACGTTAGAGATTTGTCTTTAAATATAACAGATGTTGATTAGTAATTTGCCCCTTCCTTCAAATTCAATGCTCTCCCTCTTATTTTCTTTTAATTGTGACTTGAAAATTATGAAGAACACATATAAGGCAATATGTTAACTTAAGTCTTTTTTTGCATTAATTTTTCTTTTTTAAAATTTTCAGGAAATGAGTTTTGAATTTTTAGGTTGAATGGTTATGGTTATATAATATAGCTGTATTTTCTAACTTTAAGGGGTATATTAGACTTTTAGCTCTGCCATGACAGGTTCTTGTTGATACAGAAATCTGCACCAACCAGAGAATTCCGATTGACCCTACTGGAACCGGAATAGATGTGCGCGTGATTACGGATAACTAGCAGTGGATGAATAATAAATGCAATAAAGTAAATGACAAAGAGATTTTTAAAGTAGTTCGGCAATTTAGAATTTGAGCCTACGTCCACTGTTATCTTATTATTTTTTAGGGCTTACAAAAACAGTATAATTTTTAGGAAAATTTGCTTAAAACAATTGCTTAACCCCTTGAAAACAAGTTATAATGGGTTTATATAGCACCCATTTACATGATAAAGTTGAGGTAATATTCAAATACGTAGGATTAGGAAGTTGCACGATTTTCGGTTACCTTAGTTGGAATCTAAGTCAATTTGAATATCTTTCTTCCAAATTGAGTCAATCTAAATATCTTATCTCGTAATAAGGAATTATCCTCTCCGGATTTCCTGCACAACAGTTCTAATAGGTGTAACGGTGACATTTTTTATTTTTTCGATTATTTCAAGGTGCAATTATATTATAAAATTTGTGATTATTTTTCGATTTTCTTTTAATTTAAGATTCCATTGTCCTTCCCAAAAAGTTATATTCTTTGGATTTATGTTTTTAACAGACGTTCCTAGATTTGTCAATTCTAATACAAGAATTCTCTATTTCTATAATTTAAATAATAACTTTTTAAAATCTCTTTAACTTTCAGTTTTAATTTGTTTTCAATTTTCAAATCGAATCTCCAAATTGTGGTTTGGGAAGATACTCAATACTGGAGCCAAATTACCCTAAGTATATATATATATACACATTGAGTTAATGATATCTTATGAAACTCGTGAACTGTTATGAAAACCAAAAAAATACTTTTAAAATGAGTGTCTTGTATTTATATGTGGTCGGTGGATCATCCGTGACATAATCACGGCCCACGGCCCGATTGACGAAGAACTTCACATGCAGTGGATTATGATGACACGTTTAACTGTTTAAGGCTTACCTGACAAATAAACCACCAGTAGCACGTCTCTCTGATTTTCATTTGAGTTTCACCACCTCAATATCTTTAAAAGTCTTTACCATATATTATACATTCTTTACAAGGGGACTTAAGCAGAGGTTGGCTGAGGCTGAAGATAGTCTTGATGCTCTAAATGGGACAGCGGGATAGGCATGAAATCTCCTTGGAAACCATACGGGACTCTGCATGGCAGTGTGATTTTGACAACTGCCTCGCTTGAAAACTTCCTTGTGTCAATTATATTAGCCTGTAATATTGAATTACAAATATTACTGATATTATATATATACCCCTTTACAATATCATTAATTAAAGCATGCAGTCTTGAATCAGCAACGAATTGACTCGCTTGAGATATATTTGTATGTTCGTTGTGAACAAAAGTGATGATCCAACCATCATCTTCTTCAAAACCCTTTCCTTTGGAGACAAATGCAGCTCCAGTGCAAAATACGGAGGAATTCCTCCAACTTGTGATATTCAATTTTTATCAACTTTTCAGATTGCTAATTTCATTATTTTAAAAAAAAAAAAAAGGGTTGAAAAACTCATACATCAATAAAAGAAACGAAGAAGAATGATAAAGAATATGTGAAAGCGACAACTTATTTACCGAGGGAAAACTCTGTAGCTGCTTCATCAAAGTATAACTTGGCTAGACCTCCGCATTTTGGCATGCCTGATATATCAAATTAAGTTTATTGTTCTATTTAAATGAGAAGGGATTCAATATCAGTTCACTATTTAGGGAGACTGATTCTATAATTACCTGACTCAGAACTTGCCGTAGTATCAACTATTTGGGTGTAACCATATTTATTTTTTAATACCTGTATAATCTCCATTGATCATGGGAAAATCCATATGGAACTTTTTCCCGGAGAGTTCTCTCTCCTTAACTTCTCCAGTTTGCATATTCAATCTCCATTCATATGAACGAGAAAATAGCGATGAGTCTTCTTTTGTGTTATCAATGCTTTTGTCAACTGATTCCGCACGCCTAAACTTTCCAGAAAACCACTCAGATTTATTCAAACCCAATTAAGGTCCTGGTATGACTGATTCAAGAGCTCTACACCCCCACACTACAGCCTATCCACAAACATGAACAAGTTAATCAATTAGGCGTTCATCTTTTTGATTGATTTTGGAAAATATATTATTAAACAAAAAGAACAAACTTTGTTATAAATCACCTCTTCACTATCCTCAAAACAATTTATTATGTGAAATGTACAATTTGGTGTCACATTAAACCATTGGATTGAATCTGCATCACCATAGCGAGGCATTACGCCGATCCTTGCATATCCTTCGTGTTCGTACTTTATCAATCTACATGTTAACATTGGTTTTCCAGTTAAAAATTTGAAAGCTATTTTGAGTATAGTCATGAAAAACAAATTGATATTAAAAGGATATGCACTCACGGGCCTCCTTGAACAAGTCTTTTTATGTCTATAGAAAGTGGAACATCCAGGAATACATTATAACTACAAAACAAGAATCCATAACAATTGATAAGAGCTCTGATTTTCACAGATATTTCCAAGCTAAAATAAGGAGAGTAAATTACTATATACCTCTTTGTAACTCCCATTTCATGGCAAAGGGTAGCCCTGTCGAGTTTGAGGTCCACTCTGTGAACTAATTTATTCCCATCAGCTGAAAAAAAGATAGCAATAATTCGACACATTAGAATGTTAATTGTTGCAAGCGTTACTAGGTATTGTGCAAATCTCGATCGCTGTCCATGAGATGAAGAGCAAACCTGAAATTACTCCCACTTCAACAAAAGGTACTTAACTGCATCCACCCCCATTATGACTAGCTCCCCTGTATCTGGAGCTTTCTGTCATACATAAGGAAAACGGAACTTAGAAACTACAATAAATTGCGGTAAAAAGAAAATTTAACAAGTTCTTGGTGGGGATACGAAGAATCACCTTAGGATGGCTGGTAAAAGGTCGATTCCAAGTTCCATTGACATCCCAATTATTGCAAGTTTCTAGTGTAAGTATATCAATCTCTTGTGGCAGGTGATGTTCTGCAATCGAGTAAAACTTGCCCGAATGCTTAAATACATTGGTATTGCTTATGTATTTGTTTATTTTGCCAAACCTAAGCTGAGAAAATGAAAATAAAATAAAAGTGAGTTTTGGGCTAATTAATTGGTATGACCTCCACTTGCAAGTAAATTCTTTTGATCTCTATATATATAGCCGTATTTTAATTAATTTGGAAAGAAAGAACTAGAATGCGCACAAAATTTAGCAAATGAGCTGACAAAACTGCAGCTGAATCGCTTTGTATTGCCGGTAGAAAGACGGCTTATTTCTTAGTTTTTCTAGCTTGAATGTTTCAGTCTCAACATGTCTGTTATTGTAAACAACACTCCAGCTCCCATAAACTCTTTTCTTGAAATACGAAGCATGAAGCATGCCCTCTCCTTCTACCCAAATGTGACTTGACCTCTTAAATATTGATTTTGCCGACCTCAACCCCCCAAAAAGAGGATTTGGCCCTGAAATTTCAATATTAATATTTTAACATCAGCTGTCAAACCCGATATAACTGGCATATGGTATATGCCTAATTTAATTTCTGTCTTCTCCAGCCTACCGGGTTTTGCCATTACCAATCATGGATGTACTTTAATAAATGAGAATATACGGTGGACGATTCCCTTCCATCTTGGAGGTGTGAACAAGATTAAGTACTCCTAGGCTTTGGATTTTTATGCGAAGCATCTACTAATCAGAAGCAAACATATGATTCCTCTGCTACGTGCTTACATATTAAATCTTATTTTTCACAGTTTTTTTCTATGTTTCACATGTCCTATATATCGTCAAGTTTTAACATGCTACATATTTACACATACATCTAGCTTTAGAACTACCACTTGCTGTTCTTAAGAGTCGTGACATCTGAAGAGTTGAACATGAGACATATTTTATAGATTAAAAAGATAAATTTATAAAATCCGTGACCTTCAACCTGGGGCGGAGCCACATGGCTACCCAGGTCCCAACTTTTTAATTGAAAAAAAAAAAAAAAAAAAATATATATATATATATATATAGAGAGAGAGAGAGAGAGAGAGAGAGAGAGAAATTTATCAGTTTTGTCCTTGTAATGTTAGTTTTTACCCCTTTTCACCTCAGATTTTTAAATTAACTTTGGCCTCCACAAATGTAACTTCCTATTCTGGCCCTTCATTCATTGAAAACTATATTTTAACCCTTCAGAATAAATTTTCTGGCTCCGCCTCTGCTGTCAGTGTCAACATTCCTTGAACTCTAAACATGATAAGCTACTGTAATAGTAATACTGCACATATAATAGAACTGCTTCTGGATAAACAACGTAGGTTTTTTAGGTTTATGATTCAGAAAATGAATGACATTAAAGTCATTTAATGTCACTTTTTATTTGATATATTTTGATGCTGTAATAAAAGAATATTATGGACAAAAAAATTGGCTAGTAAAAATCTCATTGATTTGGCTTTGTTAATTAAGGGTTTGGAAAACCATTGAAATATGCCTGCAGCTTTTCACAACCTGATAATGAATCCACCCACAATGATTTAAACTAAGCTTTTACGTTGTCAAAAATACATCTAAAATACTTCAAAACATCTTTGTATATCGTTTGTCGGGCTTGATTAAATGGTAAGTTCTGAAGAAATAAAACAATTTTTACTAGTAATATATTTACACTAGAAGTATTGCTACACATCTTGGGAGTTTTATGACAAATGGAAAAACCTGGAAGAGAAATATTCATTTTCTAATAGAAAAGAACTTGAATAGAGTTTTAACTGGGGTTGAAAATCTTGAAACTTTCAATGGGATTCTCGGATTGGCATGTAAGCTCCGTGGAAACCGTACGGGACTCTGCATGGCAGTGTGATTTTGGCAACTGCCTCACTAGAAAATTTCTTTGTGTCAATTATATAAACCTGCAATGAATTAAGAAGAATATGTGTATCCGTCTACACGATAAATTAAAGCAGTTTTGAACAGAAATTTTTGTCAGCTAAGAATTGACTCACTTGAGATATATTTGTATCTTCATTGTGAACAAAACTGATGATCCAACCGGCATCTTCTTCCAAGCCTTTTCCTTTGGAGACAAATGTAGCTCCAGTGCAGAATACATTTTCCTCCAACTTGTGATATTCCATTTTTATCATTTTCTCTCTCTAATTTCACATTATCATAGTTGAAAAACTCATACATCAATAACAGAAACCAAGAACGAGGATAAAATTAAGAATTTGTAACAACCTACCGATGAAACCTCTGTAACTGGTTCTTCAAAGTATAACTTGGCTATCCCTCCAAATTTTGGGATCCCTGATGAAAAACGCCATGAATATTTCTTTAAATTAATGAAGTTCAGCCACTTAGACTAATTTATTTGTAGAGAGTGACTGTTTATTACCTGATGTAGAACTTGCAGCAGAATCAACAGTTTGGGTGTAACCATATTTATTTTTAATACCTGTATAGTCTCCATTGATCATAGGAAAATCCATAGAGAACTTTGTTCCACAGAGATTTTTCTCCTTAACCTCTCCAGTTTGCATATTCAATCTCCATTCATAAGGACTAGAAAATACTTCTTTTGTTGCGGTATCAATACTTTCCTCAAATGATTCTACATGCCTATTTTTTTCAGAACTCCTCTCAGATCTATTCAAATCTAGAGTAGGTCCTGGTATGACCGATTCAAGAGCTCTACATCCCAAAACTACAACCTGTCGACAAACATGAAATTTTTTTTAAAAAAAAAAAGGAGAATCAATCAGAATTTCATCAGTTTGTGTATTAGTCCAGATTAGATGATTGTAATTTGTAAGAGTTTAGACGTAAATGATAAATTTTGTAATAAGTTACCTCATCACCATCCTCAAAACAATTGATAATGTGGAATGTACAATTTGGTTTCACAACAAACCACTGGATAGAATCTGCAACACCATAGCGAGGCATTACCCCAATCCTTGCATATCCTTTGGGTTCGTAATTTATCAATCTGCATATTAAAATTAAATCGTGTTTGAAAATCTTTGATTGTAGTCATTAGAACAAATTGATATATTGAAACTGTCAAGAGTTGTTGGAAGGATATGCACTCACTGTCCTCCTTGAATAAGTCTGTTTATGTCTATAGACAGAGGAAAATCAAGAAATACATTATACCTGCAATATTAAAAAAATATATATATAGGGATCTGGTTTTCATTTACAACCGAAAATATTTCCAAGCCAAAATAAGGAGAATCGATTTCTAAATACCTCCGTGTAACTCCCATTTCATGGCAAAGGGTGCACCTATTGAGTTTGAGATCCATTCTGTGCACTAATTTATTTCCATCAGCTGGAGAAAAGATACCAATTGGACACATCAGGATGTTGGATGTTGCATGCCTTGCAAACTATTGTGCAATTCTCGTTGTTCTTAAAATGGAGAGCATACCTGAAATTACTCCCACTTCAACAAAAGGTTTAGCTGCATCAATCCCCATAATGACAAGCTCCTCTGTATCTGGATCTTTCTGTTAAAGGAAGAAAATGGAATTTAGAAAATCCCATAAATTGCAGTAGAAGTATATAAATAAGACAGATTCTGTGTAGGGATACGAAGAATAACCTTTGGATGGCTGGTGAAAGGTCGATTCCAAGTTCCATTGACATCCCAATTATCATAGGTTTTTAGTGTAAAGATGTCAATCTCTTGTGGGATGTGATTTTCTGCAATCGAGTAAAACTTGCCCGAATGCTCAAAAACATTGGTGTTGCTCAAGTATTTGTTTATTTTGCCAAACCTCAGCTGAGAAAATTAAAAAAAAAAAATAGATAATAAATGATATTATTATATATATATGTGTGTAATGCTTATGAACTGCAGAATTTACTTCACATATGTTCACTCTTAACATTAAACTAGACCATAACAACATTTTTTAAGGCCGAACGACTTACGCATACCCAAGGTTTATCGAAACGATAAGTTGGTATCCAAAAGGTTTTGAAACGACAAACAGGTACCTTCCGTCATGTTCATTTAGTGATTTCTGTTTGTTCATAGTGAAAAGACTAAAATGCCCTTAAAAGTTTGATATTTTAGTTTTTTTATAAATTTAAAAATTTCTAAAAAACCCCCTAGGTTTGCTAATTTAACTAAACACCCCCATATATAAAAAGTTTGTTAAATGAAAAAAACACCCCCACCACTGCAGTGCCAGATTCCGGCCAAATTGCATTACGACATAGACCCCGTCGGATCTATGTCATAACGTGTCGATCTGGCCTTTTCCGGCTAGATCCGTGGCTGATCTGGCAGAAAAAGGCTAGATATACGGCTAGATCTGGCCGTCGTGGCCGCAAAACTCTATCTGCGGCGTCGACGGCCAGATCTGGCCGTAGATCTGGCATTTTTCGGCCAGATCAGCCACGGATTTGGCCGGAAAAGGCCATATCGACGCGTTACGACACAGATCCGACGGGGTCTGTGTCGTAACACAATTTTCGGCTAGATTCCGGCGGTGGTGGCTGGATTCTGGCACTGCAGTGGTGGGGGTGTTTTTGTTATTTAACAAACTTTTTATATATGGGGGTGTTTAGTTAAATAAGCAAACCTAGGGGGTTTTCTAGACATTTATAAAAAACTAAAATATCAAACTTTAAGGGCATTTTAGTCTTTTTACTGTTAACAAACAGAAATCACTAACAACATATAATGGAAGGTACCTGTTTGTTATTTTAAAACCTTTTGGGTACCAACTTGTCGTAAAGAAGGCTATGATTATTAGATTCCTAAAATGGACTCATCACATACAATTAAATTCCTATCTTTTTAAAGTTCACACTACGGTGAGTCTAAAGGCACCATAAAACGNCGGACGTTAGAGATTTGTCTTTAAATATAACAGATGTTGATTAGTAATTTGCCCCTTCCTTCAAATTCAATGCTCTCCCTCTTATTTTCTTTTAATTGAGACTTGAAAATTATGAAGAGCAGACATAAGGCAATATGTTAACTTAACTCTTTTTTTGCATTAATTTTTCTTTTTTAAAATTTTCAGGAAATGAGTTTTGAAATTTTAGGTTGAATGGTTATAGTTATATAGCTGTATTTTCTAACTTTAAAGGGTATATTAGACTTTTAGCTCTGCCATGACAGGTTCTTGTTGATATAAAAATCTGCACCAATCAGAGAATTCTGATTGACCCTGCGGAACTGAAACGAATGTGTGTGATTACGGATGACCAACAGTGGATGAATAATAAATGCAATAAAGTAAATGGCAAAGAGATTTTTAAAGTGGTTCAGCAAGTTAGAACTTGAGCCTACGTTCACTGCTATCTTATTGCTTTTGAGAACTTACAATGAACAGTATAATTCATAGGAAAATTTGCTTAGAACAATTGCCCAGTCCCCTAAAAACAAGTTATAATGGGTTTATATAGCACCCATTTACATAATAGAGTTGAGGTAAGTTCAAATACGTAGGATTAGGAAGTTGCACGATCTTTGGCTACCTTGGTTAGAATCTAAGTCAATCTGAATATCTTTCTTCCAAATTGAGTCAATCTGAATATCTTTCTTCCAAATTGAGTCAATCTAAATATCTTCTCTCCTAATAAGGAATTATCCTCTCCGAATTTCCCGCATTACAATAGCCCCCCAGTTTTTGGAGTGCGTAATGACGCTTCAAAAACTCATGTCTTTGATCTGGATGGTTGTCACACTATAGGCTACAGTCTCGAACTGAAGAGCTTGAATTATGTCTGACGTGATCTAAGAGATGTGAGAGATCTTGAACACGTGATCTCAGGCGAATGAGCAAGCTTATGAGCTCAACCAAAGAGCATAAAGAACTCGATCTGAGAACGTAAAAAGCTCGATCAGAAAGCATGAAGAGCTTGATCTGAGAGCATAGCTCGATTAGAAAACATGGCGAGCTTCATCTGAGAACATAGCTTGATCAGAAAGCATGAAGAGTTTTATCTGAAAGCATAGCTTGATTAGAAAGCATAAAGAACTTCATCTGAGAGCATAGCTCGATCAAAAAACATGGAAAGCTTGACCATAGCTCAATCAAAAAGCATGAAAGCTTGATCTGAGAGCATAGCTCGATCAGAAAGCATGGAGAGCTTGATTTGAGAGCATAACTCGATCATATAGCATGGCGAGCTTGATCTAATAGCATAGCTCGATCAGAAAGTATGACGAGCTTAATTTGAGAGCATAACTCGATTAGAAAGCATGAAGAGCTTCATCTGAAAGCATAGCTCTATTAGAAAACATGGAAAGCTTGATCTGAGAGCATGACTCAATCAGAAAGCATGGAGAGTTTGACCATAGCTCAATCAGAAAGCATGGAGAGTTTGACCATAGCTCAATCAGAAAGCATGGAGAGCCTAATTTGAGAGCATAATAATAATTATTTTGTTTGATCCTTTTTAACTTAAATTGAGCCACAAATTATTAACCGTTTATATGTTACAACCCAATGGATGTGAAAAAGACTTTAGAGACAGTTATTCTGTTTGTCACCACAACATTTCCTAAACCATAGGATTGTACTAAAACTGTGACTAGAAATTCTGTAAAAAAATTAAGTTAAAAGATCACATACCTAAGAAAATTGTCTCTTATTTACTTTAAATTTATCCAAGAATGTGATCATTTAATGAGAATTTTATTCTTATATTATTTGAGTACATAATTGTATTCAAGTTATCATAATTTTTATTATAAAATTTTAATTTGAATAGTTCCTATCGTTATTCAAAATAATTTTGTTATGACTTGGTTCATAGTTTAAAACGCTACATTAAATAAGAGATAATAAATTAAAGAGATGATATTTACATTTGTTATTAAATTGTTAATTCATAAAAAGAAAACATTATGTCACGCAACTTAAAGGCGCGTGAGATTGAGCATATAGTCATGCCTTCGTTATTTTTCTCTTAAAAAAGCCAGAAATGATGAGAAAAGCTCTTGGCTTTATTCTCTTAATCAAAGGAACCATAATGGACTTCGCTTTCTTCCTGATGTGGAATGGAATATTAAATTAGGGATAATAACAAAGACACCCTAAGGTTTACTCAAAATAAATGTCTTCATCAACTTTGTAAAAATGACATAAAATACCCCTCTTTTCAGTCGAACGTTAGAGACTTGTGTTTAAATATAACAGATGTTGATCTGTACTTTGCCCCTTCCTTCAAATTCAATGCTCTCCCTCTTATTTTCTTTTAATTGTGACTTGAAAATTATGAAGAACAGATACAAGGCAATATGTTAACTTAAGTCTTTTTTGCATTAATTTTTCTTTTTTAAAATTTTCAAGAAATGAGTTTTGAATTTTTAGGTTGAATGGTTATGGTTATATAGCGGTATTTTCTAACTTTAAGGGTATATTAGACTTTTAGCGTTGTCATGACAGGTTCTTGTTGATATAGAAATCTGCACCAACCAGAGAATTCTGATTGACCCTGCCAGAACCGGAATGTATGTGCGCGTGATTACGGATAACCAACAGTGGATGAATAATAAATGCAATAACGTAAATGGCAAAAAGATTTTTAAAGTGGTTCGGCAAGTCAGAACTTGAGCCTACGTCCATTGTTATCTTATTGCTTTTGAGAGCTTAAAAAGAACAATATAATTCCTAGGAAAATTTGCTTAGAACAATTGTCCAGCCCCTTGAAAACTAGTTATAATGGGTTTATATAGCACCCATTTACATGATAGAGTTGAGGTAAGATTCAAATACGTACGATTAGGAAGTCGTACGATCTTAGGCTTCCTTGGTTAGAATCTACGGCAATCTGAATATCTTTCTTCCAAATTGAGCCAATCTAAATATCTTCTCTCCTAATAAGGAATTATCCTCTCCGGATTTCCTGCACTACAATAGCCCTCTAGTTTTTGGAGTGCGTAATCACGCTTCAAAAACTCATGTAGTTGATCTGGATGGCTGTCGCACTATAGGCTGCAGTCTCGAACCGAAGAACTTGAATTATGTCTGGCGTAATCTAAGAGATCTTGAACACGTGATCTCAAGCGAATGAGCGAGCTTATGAGCTCAATTAGAGAGCATAAAGAGCTCGATCTGAGAACATAAAAAGCTCGATCAGAAAGCATGAAGAGCTTGATCTGAGAGCATAGCTTGATCAGAAAGCATGGAGAGCTTGAACATAACTCGATCAGAAAGTATGGAGAGCTTGACCATAGCTTGATCAGAAACCATGGAGAGCTTGATCTAAGAGCATAACTCAATTAGAAAACATGGAGAGCTTGATATGAGAGCATAGCTCGATCAAAGAGCATGGAGAACTTAATATGAGAGCATAGTTCGATCAGAAAACATGGCGAGCTTGATTTAAGGGCATAGCTCGATCATAAAACATGGAGAGCTTCATCTAAGAGCATAGCTCAATAAAAAAGCATGAAGAGTTTCATCTGAGAGCATAGCTTGATTAGAAAGCATGCAAAGCTTGACTATAACTCGATCAGAAAGCATGGAAAGCTTGATTAGAGAGTATAGCTCGATTAGCAAGCATGACAAGCTTGATTTGAGAGCATAGCTCGATTAGAAAGCATGATGAGCTTGACTTGAGAGCACAACTCGATCAGAAAGCATGGAGATCTGGGTGCCAAATCTAAAGCTGAAAATCTGGGTGTGCCATCTGAGAGATCTAGCAGCATGATTTGAAATAGGCTTCAATATCTTGACAATAACATAAGCTGTAGACCTCAGATTTAGATGATGCCTGAACCGTTGGAAAGTTTACTCAAAGATCTACAACTATTATGTTTACCACTTTGCCAAACTCATACTTTATAATGCTCAATACTCCCCATCTATCAATGACTTCGATTCTAGAGTTTGATTTGGTGACATGGATTGTAGCCATGGCTGATTTTTTTTGCGGTTGGAAGATGGAAAAGAAACTACTGGAAAACAGAGAGAGCTTGGAGTGTTCAAGCCATCCTTCTAGCGCCAAGTTATTGATACAAAAATCTGCACCAACCAGAGAATTCTGATTGACCCTATTGAAACCGGAATGGATGTGCGCATGATTATGGATAACCAGCAGTGGATGAATAATAAATGCAATAAAGTAAATGGCAAAGAGATTTTTAAAGTAGTTCGGCAATTTAGAACTTGAGTCTACGTCCACTGTAATCTTATTGCTTTTGAGAGCTTACAAAAAACAGTATAATTCCTAGGAAAATTTGCTTAAAACAATTGCCCAGCCCCCTGAAAACAAGTTATAATAGGTTTATATAGCACTCATTTATATGATAGAGTTGAGGTAAGATTCAAATATGTAGGATCAGAAAGTTGCACGATTTTCAGCTACCTTAGTTGGAATCTAAGTCAATCTGAATATCTTTCTTCCAAATTGAGCAAATCTAAACACATTCTCTCCTAACAAGAAATTATCCTCTCTTGATTTCCTACACAACAGTTCTAATAGGTGTAACGACGACATTTTTTATTATTTCGATTATTTTAAGGTGTCGATTATATTATAAAATATAAAATATAAAATTTGTGATTATTTTTCGATTTTCTTTTAATTTAAGATTCCATTGTCCTTCCCAAAAAAATATATTCTTTGGATTTATGTTTTTTTATAGACGTCCCTAGATTTGTCAATTCTAATACAAGAATTCTGTATTTCTATAATTTAAATAATAATTTTTATAATCTCTTTAACTTTCAGTTTTAATTTGTTTTCAATTTTCAAATCGAATCTCCAAATTGTGGTTTGGGAAGATACTCAATACTGTAGCCAAATTACCCTAAGTGTATATATATATATACATATTGAGTTAATGGCATCTTATGAAACTCGTGAACTGTTATGAAAACCAAAAAAATACTTTTAAAATGAGTGTCTTGTATTTATATGTGGTCGGTGGATCATCCGTGACATAATCACGGCCCACGGCCCGATTGACGAAGAACTTCACATGCAGTGGATTATGATGACACGTTTAACTGTTTAAGGCTTACCTGACAAATAAACCACCAGTAGCACGTCTCTCTGATTTTCATTTGAGTTTCACCACCTCAATATCTTTAAAAGTCTTTACCATATATTATACATTCTTTACAAGGGGACTTAAGCAGAGGTTGGCTGAGGCTGAAGATAGTCTTGATGCTCTAAATGGGACAGCGGGATAGGCATGAAATCTCCTTGGAAACCATACGGGACTCTGCATGGCAGTGTGATTTTGACAACTGCCTCGCTTGAAAACTTCCTTGTGTCAATTATATTAGCCTGTAATATTGAATTACAAATATTGTATATATACCCCTTTACAATATCATAAATTAAAGCATGCAGTCTTGAATCAGCAACGAATTGACTCACTTGAGATATATTTGTATGTTCGTTGTGAACAAAAGTAATGATCCAACCATCATCTTCTTCAAAACCCTTTCCTTTGGAGACAAATGCAGCTCCAGTGCAAAATACGGAGGAATTCCTCCAACTTGTGATATTCAATTTTTATCAACTTTTCAGATTGCTAATTTCATTATTTTAAAAAAAAAAAAAAGGGTTGAAAAACTCATACATCAATAAAAGAAACGAAGAAGAATGATAAAGAATATGTGAAAGCGACAACTTATTTACCAAAGAAAAACTCTGTAGCTGCTTCATCAAAGTATAACTTGGCTAGACCTCCGTATTTTGGCATGCCTGATATATCAAATTAAGTTTATTGTTCTATTTAAATGAGAAGGGATTCAATATCAGTTCACTATTTAGGGAGACTGATTCTATAATTACCTGACTCAGAACTTCCCGTAGTATCAACTATTTGGGTGAAACCATATATATTTTTTAATACCTGTATTAAGGAGCCCTAAAAAAAAAAGCCAAAAAAGTCCAAATTTATTATAAACTTTTTACATATATTCTCACCCAAAGTTTAACAAAATATCAAGTTTATACCTCTAGTTTTATATATTCTATTTATACCCCTAAATTAACACATTGAATCTCTTTTAACAATAGAAGACTAAAATAGTCATTTACATATCTCAAATTACTCACCCTCAATTCAATCCCAAAATTTGACATTCACATAAATCATCTCCAGCCCTCTTCTGTTGCTAGTGGTTTAGAGTTGATTTCGATCAATTTTGGTTCCGGTCGATTTTCTCATCAAAATCAACCAAAATCATCATTTTATCATTTCCCAACCTTGATAGCCCTCGATTTGACTAATTTTTGAGGAATCTCGCAACCCAACTCAACCACACGACATCTATTTTCAGCCTTTTTGGCATGTACCCGACATTGTTGGCCTTCCCCGACACCACCATCTTCCTCCCCTCAGCCCTCTCACCAAAACCCCTATCATACCTTATCCGTTTACTCTGCCAATCGCCGTCCATCAATATCTTTTGGGCCCTGACTTCTCAAGCCTTTTTTTATTAATCTTGGCATTGGAAATCATCCATTTCACCACCCATCACTTCTCCAACATCTACTCTCTAAAACCCTCCACCAACCTAATCTTGTTAGCTTGCCGATTGCTGTCCACCTCCCCTAGTGATTTTTCATCTCAAATTTCTATATATATATATATATATAGAAATTTATCAGTTTTGTCCCTGTAATGTTAGTTTTTACCCCTTTTCCCCTCAGATTTTTAAATTAACTTTGGCTTCCACAAATATAACTTCTTGTTCTGGCCCTTCATTCATTGAAAACTATATTTTAACCCTTCAGAATAAATTTTCTGGCTCCGCCCCTGCTGTCAGTGTCAACATTCCTTGAACTCTAAACATGATAAGCTACTGTAATAGTAATACTGCACATATAATAGAACTGCTTCTAGATAAACAACATAGGTTTTTTATGTTTATGATTCAGAAAATGAATGCCATTAAAGTCATTTAATGTCACTTTTTATTTGATATATTTTGATGCTGTAATAAAAGAATACTATGGACAAAAAAATTGGCTAGTAAAAACCTCATTGATTTGGCTTTGTTAATTAAGGGTTTGGAAAACCATTGAAATATGCCTGCAGCTTTTCACAACCTGAGAATGAATCCACCCACAATGATTTAAACTAAGCTTTTACGTTGTCAAAAATACATCAAAAATTCTTCAAAACATCTTTGTATATCGTTTGTCGTGCTTGATTAAATGGTAAGTACTGAAGAAAAAAAACAATTTTTACTAGTAATATATTTACACTAGAAGTATTGCTACACATCTTGGGAGTTTTATGACAAATGGAAAAACCTGGAAGAGAATTATTCATTTTCTAATAGAAAAGAACTTGAATAGAGTTTTAAGTGGGGTTGAAAATCTTGAAACTTTCAATGGGATTCCCGGATTGGCATGTAAGCTCCATGGAAACCGTACGGGACTCTGCATGGTAGTGTGATTTTGGCAGCTGCCTCACTAGAAATTTTCTTTGTGTCAATTATATAAACCTGCAATGAATTACGAAGAATATGTGTATCCGTCTACACGATAAATTAAAGCAGTTTTGAACAGAAATTTTTATCAGCTAAGAATTGACTCACTTGAGATATATTTGTATCTTCATTGTGAACAAAACTGATGATCCAACCGTCATCTTCTTCCAAGCCTTTTCCTTTGGAGACAAATGTAGCTCCAGTGCAGAATACATTTTCCTCCAACTTGTGATATTCCATTTTTATCATTTTCTCTCTCTAATTGCACATTATCATAGTTGAAAAACTCATGCATCAATAACAGAAACCAAGAACGAGGATAAAATTAAGAATTTGTAACAACCTACCGATGAAACCTCTGTAACTGGTTCTTCAAAGTATAACTTGGCTATCCCTCCAAATTTTGGGATCCCTGATGAAAAACGCCATGAATATTTCTTTAAATTAATGAAGTTCAGCCACTTAGACTAATTTATTTGTAGAGAGTGACTGTTTATTACCTGATGTAGAACTTGCAGCAGAATCAACAGTTTGGGTGTAACCATATTTATTTTTAATACCTGTATAGTCTCCATTGATCATAGGAAAATCCATAGAGAACTTTGTTCCACAGAGATTTCTCTCCTTAACCTCTCCAGTTTGCATATTCAATCTCCATTCATAAGGACTAGAAAATACTTCTTTTGTTGCGGTATCAATACTTTCCTCAAATGATTCTACATGCCTATTTTTTTCAGAACTCCTCTCAGATCTATTCAAATCTAGAGTAGGTCCTGGTATGACCGATTCAAGAGCTCTACATCCCAAAACTACAACCTGTCGACAAACATGAATTTTTTTTTTAAAAAAAAAAGGAGAATCAATCAGAATTTCATCAGTTTGTGTATTAGTCCAGATTAGATGATTGTAATTTGTAAGACTTTAGACGTAAATGATAAATTTTGTGATAAGTTACCTCATCACCTTCCTCAAAACAATTGATAATGTGGAATGTACAATTTGGTTTCACAACAAACCACTGGATAGAATCTGCAGCACCATAGCGAGGCATTACCCCAATCCTTGCATATCCTTTTGGTTCGTAATTTATCAATCTGCATATTAAAATTAAATCGTTTTTGAAAATCTTTGATTGTAGTCATTAGAACAAATTGATATATTGAAACTGTCAAGAGTTGTTGGAAGGATATGCACTCACTGTCCTCCTTGAATAAGTCTGTTTATGTCTATAGACAGAGGAAAATCAAGAAATACGTTATACCTGCAATATTAAAAAAATATATATATAGGGATCTGGTTTTCATTTACAACCGAAAATATTTCCAAGCTAAAATAAGGAGAATCGATTTCTAAATACCTCCGTGTAACTCCCATTTCATGGCAAAGGGTGCACCTATTGAGTTTGAGATCCATTCTGTGAACTAATTTATTTCCATCAGCTGGAGAAAAGATACCAATTGGACACATCAGGATGTTGGATGTTGCATGCCTTACAAACTATTGTGCAATTCTCGTTGTTCTTAAAATGAAGAGCATACCTGAAATTACTCCCACTTCAACAAAAGGTTTAGCTGCATCAATCCCCATAATGACAAGCTCCTCTGTATCTGGATCTTTCTGTTAAAGGAAGAAAATGGAATTTAGAAAATCCCATAAATTGCAGTTGAAGTAAATAAATAAGACAGGTTCTGTGTCGGGATACGAAGAATAACCTTTGGATGGCTGGTGAAAGGTCGATTCCAAGTTCCATTGACATCCCAATTATCATAGGTTTTTAGTGTAAAGATGTCAATCTCTTGTGGGATGTGATTTTCTGCAATCGAGTAAAACTTGCCCGAATGCTCAAAAACATTGGTGTTGCTCAAGTATTTGTTTATTTTGCCAAACCTCAGCTGAGAAAATTTAAAAAAAATTAGATAATAAATGATATTGTTATATATATGTGTGTAATGTTTATGAACTGCAGAATTTACTTCACATATTTTCACTCTTAACATTAAACTAGACCATAACAACATTTTTTAAATTACCCAACTGGTTTTCTGTAAAGGGTATATAAAGAAGGCTAAGATTATTAGATTCCTAAAATGGACTCATCACATACAATTAAATTCCTATCTTTTTAAAGTTCACACTACGGTGAGTCCAAAGGCACCATAAAACGTGTTGATTTTAGAAGGTAATAGTAACAGAAGGAAAGAATTAGAATGCCTACAAAATTTAGCAAATAAGCAGACAAAACTGCCGCTGAATCGCCTTGTATTGCAGGAAGAAAAGACGGCTTATTTCTTAGCTTTTCTAGTTTGAAGGTTTCAGTCTCAACATATCTGTTATTGTAAACAACGGTCCAGCTACCATCAGTTCCTTTATTAAAATACAAAGCATGAAGCATTCCTTCTCCTTCTACCCAAATATGACTTGACCTCCCAAATATAGATTTTGTCGACTTCAGTCCTCCAAAAAGAGGGTTCGGCCCTGCACTTACAATAAAAAAATAATTTTTTAACATAGGTCAGTTTTCAACACGATAAAACTACCTGGTCGCTATTACCGCCGACGCATTGTGAATTAATAGAATATAGAGTGGATCATATGCTGCCACTTTTCATCTTCATGATGTAAATTACATACTCCTATCTTGCCCTTCTGGAATTTTCTGAGAGGAATCTACTAATCAGGGGAAAATATATGATTCTTCTGCCGCGTCTCCATATATTGACTTGACTTCCAATCATAAAATATCAATAAAAGCTATTCAAGATGGCAAACAGTTATTTCATCGCCCTTTCTGGCTTAATGGGCGGCCCTATATACTATGTTTGGAGTTTTCGGTAGTTTTATGTCTAAATCTATATGCTATATTTAATTTTCACACGTCTTAACAGCCACGAAGTACTCGATTAACAAACTCTTTTAAAAAAATCAGTCTCCTACGATGTCTTAATTGTTCAATGCTTCTTTGAAGTATTCACACATCACATAGTAAATACCTTTTGTTCTACTCAATGGCTTTTCTTATTGCCTTTGTCTTCACATTAGAAGCCAGCAAAGAAAAATCCATTTACCTGAGTACATAAAACTAGGAGGAAATTTCCTTATCTTATTCATTCAGATTTACGTGTAAGGTAAGGTAACAATAAGATGGATGGACGAACCATTTCTTATAAAGACACCTTCTGGAAAATCTTCAGGAATTTCCCCTTCAATACTGGTGACAAGAACAGCTTCTCTCAACTCATCAACTGGAGCAAAGTTACCCTGTAAGTAATTAAAATTAACTCAATTAGCTTGTGAAGATGATGAATTCACCATATATATACACAACATATGTGAAGTGGACTAGGATGGAGACAATGGAGTATTTATTGGTGGCCGTCAATGGTACCTGAGATGGGAGCAAAGAGTGGTCAATAAATTCAAACACGTGATCAACAAATGTGTCCAGTAAATTCACAGAAGTTTTCTTGAATATGGTTTTGGAAACATCGATTCGCTTGGAAAGTTGCTGCAACTCTCTCAGGAATGGCTGCTCATGATGGAATGCATATATGTTAAATGTCAGTAACTATGTTAGTTTGATTATCTGAAAATATATATTAGTTTGATGAAACAACTGCTTATAAAAGTCTTGCGAATGTAACGGTAGCATTTGAATGAGCTTAGACGATATTGCTTCAGTATATAGCGAAAGAGAGAAAGAATTAAGAACATATACATACCTTGAAAGCAGAGGAGAGTGTGGGCTTAAAACGATCAAAGTTGTATGGGATGGAAGGTTTGTGGAGACAGCAACTCCCTTGAAATGCCAAATATGAAGAAGTCGCCATCTCTTTCACAAATCACAGGTTTACAATTACAAATAATTAAGGGGCATGTNTATGATTATTAGATTCCTAAAATGGACTCATCACATACAATTAAATTCCTATCTTTTTAAAGTTCACACTACGGTGAGTCTAAAGGCACCATAAAACGTGTTGATTTTAGAAGGTAATAGTAACAGAAGGAAAGAATTAGAATGCCTACAAAATTTAGCAAATAAGCAGACAAAACTGCCGGTGAATCGCCTTGTATTGCAGGAAGAAAAGACGGCTTATTTCTTAGCTTTTCTAGTTTGAAGGTTTCAGTTTCAACATATCTGTTATTGTAAACAATGGTCCAGCTACCATCAGTTCCTTTATTAAAATACAAAGCGTGAAGCATTCCTTCTCCTTCTACCCAAATATGACTTGACCTCCCAAATATAGATTTTGTCGACTTCAGTCCTCCAAAAAGAGGGTTCGGCCCTGCACTTACAATAAAAAAATAATTTTTTAACATAGGTCAGTTTTCAACACGATAAAACTACCTGGTCGCTATTACCGCCGACGCATTGTGAATTAATAGAATATAGAGTGGATCATATGCTGCCACTTTTCATCTTCATGATGTAAATTACATACTCCTATCTTGCCCTTCTGGAATTTTCTGAGAGGAATCTACTAATCAGGGGAAAATATATGATTCTTCTGCCGCGTCTCCATATATTGACTTGACTTCCAATCATAAAATATCAATAAAAGCTATTCAAGATGGCAAACAGTTATTTCATCGCCCTTTCTGGCTTAATGGGCGGCCCTATATACTATGTTTGGAGTTTTCGGTAGTTTTATGTCTAAATCTATATGCTATATTTAATTTTCACACGTCTTAACAGCCACGAAGTACTCGATTAACAAACTCTTTTAAAAAAATCAGTCTCCTACGATGTCTTAATTGTTCAATGCTTCTTTGAAGTATTCACACATCACATAGTAAATACCTTTTGTTCTACTCAATGGCTTTTCTTATTGCCTTTGTCTTCACATTAGAAGCCAGCAAAGAAAAATCCATTTACCTGAGTACATAAAACTAGGAGGAAATTTCCTTATCTTATTCATTCAGATTTACGTGTAAGGTAAGGTAACAATAAGATGGATGGACGAACCATTTCTTATAAAGACACCTTCTGGAAAATCTTCAGGAATTTCCCCTTCAATACTGGTGACAAGAACAGCTTCTCTCAACTCATCAACTGGAGCAAAGTTACCCTGTAAGTAATTAAAATTAACTCAATTAGCTTGTGAAGATGATGAATTCACCATATATATACACAACATATGTGAAGTGGACTAGGATGGAGACAATGGAGTATTTATTGGTGGCCGTCAATGGTACCTGAGATGGGAGCAAAGAGTGGTCAATAAATTCAAACACGTGATCAACAAATGTGTCCAGTAAATTCACAGAAGTTTTCTTGAATATGGTTTTGGAAACATCGATTCGCTTGGAAAGTTGCTGCAACTCTCTCAGGAATGGCTGCTCATGATGGAATGCATATATGTTAAATGTCAGTAACTATGTTAGTTTGATTATCTGAAAATATATATTAGTTTGATGAAACAACTGCTTATAAAAGTCTTGAGAATGTAACGGTAGCATTTGAATGAGCTTAGACGATATTGCTTCAATATAGAGCGAAAGAGAGAAAGAATTAAGAACATATACATACCTTGAAAGCAGAGGAGAGTGTGGGCTTAAAACGATCAAAGTTGTATGGGATGGAAGGTTTGTGGAGACAGCAACTCCCTTGAAATGCCAAATATGAAGAAGTCGCCATCTCTTTCACAAATCACAGGTTTACAATTACAAATAATTAAGGGGCATGTGATGTTATATATATATATATATATATATATATATAGCTTGAGAAATGGCAGTTACAAGTTTTGAGTGGTGACGGTCATTAATTATATTATAGTTCTATATTATGTTTAAATAATAAAATATTATATATTTAGTGTTATAATGTATATCTGCTTTATCATCAAGGTGTCATACCTGTTTTTTTTTTTTTCAGTCGAAATGCAATATGCCGATGGCTTTGCATACCCCTAATACAGCCAAACCAGGTTTAATATTTTTTTTTATTAGAACATCCACCATATAATTACATATAAACACCTTGACTTTGATCTTCCTTTTTTCAATATATATATATATGCCTGCATTTCGACTGAAGAGAAAAAAAAAAAAAAAAAAAGGTATGACACCTTGATGTTATATATATATAATAATATATAGCTTGAGAAATGGCAGTTACAAGTTTGAGTGGGGACGGTCATTATATATTATAGTTCTATATTATGTTTAAATAATAAAATATTATATATTTAGTGTTATAATGTATATCTGCTTTATCATCAAGGTGTCATACCTTTTTTTTTTTTTTTTTTTTTCAGTCGTATGAAGGCATATGCCGATGGTTGCATACCCCTAATACAGCCAAACCAGGTTTATATTTTTGTTTATTAGAACCACCAACAATAATTACTAAACACCTTGACTTTGATCTTCCTTTTTATATATATATATTATATATATGCCTGCATTTCGACTGAGAAAAAAAAAAAAAAAAAAAAAAGGTTAGACACCTTGATGTTATATATAATATATATATATATATATAGCTTGAGAAATGGCAGTTACAAGTTTTGAGTGGTGACGGTCATTAATTATATTATAGTTCTATATTATGTTTAAATAATAAAATATTATATATTTAGTGTTATAATGTATATCTGCTTTCTCATCAAGGTGTCATACCTTTTTTTTTTCAGTCGAAATGCAGGCATATGCCGATGGCTTTGCATACCCCTAATACAGCCAAACCAGGTTTAATATTTTTTTGTTTATTAGAACATCCACCATATAATTACATATAAACACCTTGACTTTGATCTTCCTTTTTTCATATATATATATATATATGCCTGCATTTCGACTGAAGAAAAAAAAAAAAAAAAGGTATGACACCTTGATGATAAAGCAGACTTGATAATATAAAGAAGGAAAACAGACTTTTGGAGATAATTAAAAAAAGAGTATTAAAAATTAACCCCTTTTAAATTTAATAATAATGCGCAGGAGAATTGTAGGGTTTAAGGTATTGAAAAACATAATTATACTTGTTTTATTCCAATGGTTATCCCTAGTTTAATTATTATCTATTGAAAAATATAGTATCAAGTGAATGGTTATAGTTAATAGGTTAGTTATTGTTGATACGAAGGCTTGAAACAGTGTCATTGTGCCTTTAAGTTGTGTGATGTCGTTTCAGTGGATTGCTGGAGTGAATCTTGACCTTTGATCCAATTTAGATCCAATGGTTGTGGTTCAATAGCTAGTCAACGGTATTTAAAGAAGCAAAATCACAAATTTAAGTAGCAAAGTGTTCTTTGTGTTCATTGAGCAATATTCTCTATTAGGGTTTACATTTTTGCAATCGAATATGTGTAACTTGTTCAAGTTGAGTGATTAGTTAGTCAGTCATTCTGTGAGAGGGGTTTTTTCTCTCAAGTTCTTAGGGATTCCAGGGAGAGTTTCTCTAGGTTGGGTTACGGGTGGGATTTGGTTGTATTCAAGTGATAGATGTTCAGATATGTGGTTGTAAACTCTTGTTCTAATTGATTAGTGCAGCGAGCTCCTCTAATTTCATAGCTCAACGTAGATGTAGTCTATCCAATCTTGGATAGGTGAACCATGGTAAATTCGTGTTGTCTTTCTAGCTTCTTGATTCTTTTGTGTATCTTCTTGATTGTGTGAATTAGAGATTTATGATTATTTCATAACAATGGTATCAGAGCTTTGGCGAGGGATTAGTTTATCTCTAAGCTTTCAATTCGATCGGGAAGGTTTTCTGGGAACCTAGGGTTGGTTAATTGTTGAACCGATTGTCACGGCCACAAAATTAAACCTAAATACCGTAGTTAGCGGTAAGCATGGTCGAATCCACAGAGAGCAAGACTAATGACCTAATGTATATTTGAGTTAACGAAAGAGAAATTGACAAAATGATTGATTAAAACAAAGGAAACTAATTACTTGCAGGAAATTAAAAAGCATCAAATAAATTGCTAACTAAAACACAATAGTAAAAGCGTTGTCGCTACGGGTTCGGTTTGACTCAAGACCAACTCTCATAATTCCTCTCCTTGCTCTTCAATTTCCTAAAACTACAAGGCTAGGCAAATCAATAAAAATATCTCCCGGCAATCTAGGTATAATCTATCCTGTCTCTCCGTCGTCTTAGTTACAGATCGATTGGTTAAAGACTATCATTGACTAACCGAAAAACGCTAAACCCTTAAACACCACTAGTTGGTACAACGTTAACAAGTATAACCTATCAACTTGTATCATCCAATCAACTAATTACACAACAAATGCATTCTTAGTAGAAATGATATTAAATGCTAATATAACTTGATTGCAATCAGTACCGAAGCAGTTTAAAGTCATAATCAACATTCAATAATCTCAAACCGACATTCAATTATGCGAAAAGTTATATATCAATAAACGTTCTCAATAGACATTATCAATTCAGTACGTTGAGCATCAGAATAATATTAAAGCATCGCAAACAAACTGAAACGAAAACAAATATAATCTGAATACAAGAAACTTAACCAAATGTCCAACATTCGGGCTCATCCAACTAGTTGAGAGCTGATGAGGAGAGCAATGGAGTCAATCTCGATCTCTTCTACACCGTAACAGACAACCGGGAACTCAGCCACTCATGGTGGTGTCAGCAGAGGTTGAAACAGTGGAAACGAAGCTTATCATGGCGAAGAGGAAGTAACCGACAGCGATATGATGCGAAGAAGGGGCGAAAATGACCAACGGACAGCCCAAAATACGAACAGTCGCACTCGCCAAAAAAAGGTTAATTTTTCTGCGGGTCTTTCGGCAAATAGTGGCAGAAATGGGATTCGAAGGTACCGATGGAAAGCTCAGGTGATGGGGAGTTCGGATTAGGTCCTGGGGAGATGAAAGGTCGTCGAAAAGTGAGCGAAATTGCGTTGGGAGGTCGAAGAGTTGTCGGATCAAAGTGATGGATCTTGCCCAAAAAAGGGTAAATCGGCGGTAGAAATGTGAGGGGAAGTTGATGGGGTTATGGGCAGCACAAAAGAAGCTCAATCGGCACCGAAAAATGGTGCAAACTCTGGTGGAAGATGAAGAGTCACGGCGTGGAAACGGTGGGTCTTCGCCGGCGTGCATGAATGACGGTGAAGGATGGTTGGTCGGCGTGAGAAGGTGAAACGTCGCCGGCCTGGAAGATGAAACGTCACCGACTGACGACCAAATTCCCGCGATGGGTGAAGTCCCTGGCGGCTGGCTCCCCTTTTGCGACCTTTCACCTGCAATTTATACAAAATGTGGTAAATTTCAATTTGGTTCTTGCACGATTGAAAAGTGACAAAATTAACCTCTTGAAACATGACATTTTACCCCCTAAACAGCATAAATGAGACAAAATCACCCTTAATCCATAAGCCACAACCTAATATTAACTCACACCATTTCCAATTTCATCCCAAATATGCTAAATTAGTAAGAAAAACTCAAAATATGATTTTTATACATAAATTCATAATTTCTCTTAATTGTCTCAATATAATTTCAATTCAATTACATATGAGATCTTTTTATCAACAAAATAGAGTCACTTTCATGACTCTAACATTAACTTTTGGGGGTTTTCCATCTGAGTAACTCCTTAGTACGTACTCTAGAGTTTCTAAAACTGTAATTCGAAGTACAATTTAATCGATCTAGAACATTTCCTAGAGATCTAGGGTTTCTTGGGTTGCTTGAGTCAAAAATCGAAAGTAAACTTCTAGGGTTCAATTGGGGTCATTCTTGAAATATTCTCAATCATACACCATGTCTACGACTACTAGAATGGAGATTACCCAATACGATGGGAAAATCGACTTTAGTAGTTGGAAGAAGAAGATGAAAGCACTACGCTCCCACAATAACGTTGCTCTTGCACTAGAGAAGAACGCTGAGAAGTGGCCTGAAGAAAAGCTAAAGAAAAAGGTAGAGATTGATGAGGAGGCGTACAACTTCATCATAATGAACCTCTCGGACAACGTACTAAGAAAGGTGGATGGCTTAGAGACTCCTCTGGTCTTATGGGGTAAACTTGAAACTCTTTACGTTTTACAATCAGCACCAAATCTTGCTTTTTTAAAGGGTCCTTTGTTTTCTTATAAGATCGATAGTTCTAAGCCTGTTGAAGATAACCTAGATGAGTTCTTAAAAATGACTTTAATACTTAAGGGGACTGACCAAGAACTAAGAGATACCAGCCTTGCAATGATTCTACTGGATTCTTTAACTGGTGATTATTTAGTTGTAAAGAATGCATTACAGTACTCTGGTACTGTACCGAGTTTAGATTTGATCATAGTTGGACCAAAGGCTAGAGAACTAAAACTAAAAGTCCAAAAGAGAAATGGTAGTAACCTATTTGTAAAGAGTAAAGGTGAAACTAGTCAACTTGGAAGAGGCAACCTGTACAATAATGGTACTAGGAACAAGAAAAAGGGGAAAGGAAATAATAGGCCTAAAGGAGAAATTAGGAAATGCTTCTATTGCAATAAAACAGGTCATTTAAAGAAAAAATGCTTTGAGTGGATTAAAAAACATAAATACTGAAAGTAATTTAGCTTCAACTAAAAACCATATAGAAGAGCCTGAAGTACTTACTGTGTCAAAACTTGACTGTGTACATGAATGGGTGTTAGACTCTGGTTGTTCCTTTCACAGGAGCCCTAATAGAAATTGGTTTCAAGATTTTGAAT